GACTTCTGAAGAGATGCCTGTGTTAGGATATTTCCGTTCCACCTTAAAAGGGAGCAGGATGTTTGTGTCACAGCCTGCGTATTTCCTGTTCACAGGATGTTTCTGTTGTGTCTATGATTTCGTTTCTCTCTGTGCCAGAGACACTGAAGCAGGCAGTCATGTTTTCTTTGTTCTGATCAACACTGAATAAACTTGTAAATAATGCTCTCCTGCGTGCATCTTTCGCTGTGCATTATCTGCTGATAGAGCGTGCATCAGCTCTGGAATATGGCAAGCTATTTCTGGAAGCTTGTGTCGCTAATTGAATGATACTGCGTGTCTACGGGAGATCGATGGACATCCAGAGGCAGCTTGGGGGCCATGATGGACTTTGTCTCCCTGGTAGTATCCCAACAGCCTGTTCCCCTCATAGAACCACAATTCCCAGAATTCCCTGGGAAGAGGAATTGACTGTTAAACTACACTGTGCATTGTAGCTCTATAAAGCTCTATGAAGGGAATTGGGGTGAGGAGTGGGTCTGCTGGCAACTCTCAGCCCCCTTAACCAGCCACAGCTCCCAGAATCCTTTGGGGGAAGCCATGGCACCATAGTTGTCAGGAGCTGGCCAGCTGCCAGCTTGAGAAAACTGTACGCAAGAGGCAATTAACGGAGGATTTATTGCTGGGGACCACCTCCTTCTGTGACCTATGTATGATGTTTTGGCGGGCGGTCTTGAGCTACAGGGGAGGCAGTTTCAAAAGTCTATATAAGAGCTTGTTCTGGGTTCCTCTCCACCCTCTCTGGGTGGGGTGAGTGGGGACGCTGTTGCAACAATTTAATAAAGATCAGGCTTGCTAGCTGCTTTGCTTCTCAGTATTCTCTGGTTGGCCTCTGTTATTTTCTCCTACTGATAGAGAACCTACATGAGGACTCTATATGGGCTCTTGGAGACCCCGTAAGGGAAAAAGAAGCAGTTTTTCTTATAACAAGGGCGTGGGGAGGTGGTCATCAAAGTATGTGCTTTAGCCTTGTTATAAGAACCTAACCCTAACACCTGTCCCTCTTGACCTAGAATTCAACCTCTGTGCCCATTCGCTAAGAATCTAAGTGCATTTTCCTTTTTTTCTTTTTATATAAATTTTTGTTAGTTTTTTAACATATCATTTTCAACAGTAATTAAACATACTTTTACATCTTATTCAATTTTTTTGGCTGCCATCAGTCCTGTCTGAAAATTTTCCAATCTAATCTCTTAGTATGCATTCCTTATCTTCCCTATTACATTTCAAACTCATAACCAATATCTCTATCTTTTTCTACTTTGTAGCACTTCGTATATTTATCCTTACAAAACTTTTTGCAGTCCTACTAGGGTAATTTGTTGGTTACAGTTGCTCTTCAAATAATTCATATACTTCTTCCAATCTTCTGTGAATCTCTGGTCCCACAAGTTTCAAATCCTTCCTGTCATTTTGCCCAATTCTGCAGAGTCCATTAATTTCGTCTGCCGTTCTTCTTTCGTCGGAATTTCTTCTTGCTTCCATTTCTGGGCTAACAATACTCTTGCCGCTGTTGTTGCATATAAGAACATAACCTAAGTGCATTTTTCACCCTTGCTTTCCGTGACTGAACCTGGAGGTGTTTGAGAGTCATAACCTGCGGTTTCTCTTTTTTGCCTTCCAGGGACTGGGCCCCAGGGCAACCAGATAACTGGTACGGCCACGGACTTGGGGGAGGAGAGGATTGCGCCCACCTCCATCGCGACGGCACCTGGAACGACGACCACTGCTCTCGCAACTATGGCTGGGTCTGCGAGATGGAGGCAGTGGATTAAGGGGTGGGGAGAGGCTGCCCTTTGACCCCTGGCTCCATGAAACTGAGTTCTCACCAGTCGCTGAAGGATCTAGGGATCCTGGGGCAACGGAAGCAATTTTGCTGCCTTCACCCCTGGGGAGGGTCTTCAGTTTCCTCTCAAACAACCCCTCTTGCCTACTGTGTCCTAGAACATAGCCAGGCATACAAAGCCCTCCGTACCTGACTGCTTTATTTCACATTTTTTTTAACCCAAATTTTAATTTTCTACACCGGCAATGGGCACCCAGAACCTCAGGGCGGAGCCTCGATTCCCCTGTTGTGACTCTGGCTCCAACCATTAACAACACAGCCAGGGCCGGATTGATACCTTTAGAGGCCCCTAAGCGCTTAAAAGATTTTGGTGCCCCCACGGATATCTAATTCAGAATGCAAACAAGAATAAACCACGAAATAAAATTTTATTTTCCGAAATGAAACCAAGCCTACAGTAGGGTGGGAAATAATGTTTACTTTTGCATACTTCGACTTTATCTGCATTTGGGAAAAAATTATCCTGCTTTTTCCGATTACAAAGTCTCTGATCAGATCCTCAAAACTAATCTTACGTAACACATCTGCTTCTATACTTGGTAGAGATAAGGAATCCAGCCTGCCTCGTTGCACAGTTGCTCGGTTGGGATTTTTAATAGACTTCAGCTGAGAAAATGAAAGCTTGGCTGAGCAGTTTGTGACCATTAATATTAAAAATCTGGCAATGCAACATTTCTGTGCTGCCCCCACTTCCCTTGACGCCCTAAGCACGGGCTTATTTTGCTTAATGGTTGATCCAGCCCTGAACACAAACCCTTCTGCCCCTTGGCTGTATGTGAGATTCCCCCAACATCTCTTTCTCCTTTATTATTTTCCTCGTTTCCTGGGCTCTCCTTCCGGCCTTTCACTTCCCTCGCAGAAGTTGCTCTGTCTGCGAACATTCTGCTGCTGTCCTTTTCCCTCATCGCCCTGGGAACGCACATTATCATTTAGGTCCCTGGGCAAGCTGAGCTTATATTCATCAGGCAAAAGATCTGACTGTGTGGCTTTTAGCAATTAACGTACGGTTTCTGGAATGTGGAACAGGGAAGGTGTGTGTGTTTTATTGGGGGGGGGGAGCGATGCCCCATTTCTCTCTGTGCTTGCAAATTGGCTGGGGAAACTTCCAAGCATGGGCACGGGGCTTCTTGGCAATAATAATAATAATAAATCAGGGAAACGGAATAAAATCCTGGGTTACACCACTGTTGGCATACAACCAAGGAATGGGGGCAATTGGCAGGCCCCCAGCTGGCTCCAGCCCACCGGCCGGTGTGCCAGGCAATCTCCAGTCCTTGTTGCAGCATCTGCGACCCACAGCTTCAGAAGCTGGGCACGCTACTCAGCAGAGTAAATGCCACACAAACAGAAGTAGCAGGAGAAGTTGTGTGAGCATATTTACAAGCAGTTTATTCAGCGTAAAAGGGTAAAGGTAGAGGGACCCCTGACCATTAGGTCCAGTCGTGGCTGACTCTGGGGTTGCGGCGCTCATCTCGCTTTACTGGCCGAGGGAGCCGGCGTACAGCTTCCGGGTCATGTGGCCAGCAGGACTAAGCCGCTTCTGGCGAACCAGAGCAGCGCACGGAAACGCCATTTACCTTCCCGCCGGAGCGGGACCTATTTATCTACTTGCACTTTGACGTGCTTTCGAACTGCTAGGTTGGCAGGAGCAGGGACCGAGTAACGGGAGCTCACCCCGTTGCAGGGATTCGAACCGCCGACCTTCTTATCGGCAAGTCCTAGGCTCTGTGGTTTAACCCACAGCGCCACCCGCGTCCCTTTTATTCAGCGTACATCAGGACAAAAGGGCAACATGCCCCGATCCCTTTCATGTCCAAAGCAAAACAGCATAAGCAAAAGCTATACACAAACAGAAGTTCCCAGCAAACTGTGCTGGAGTGTAAACAGACATGCCTGTTCCTTAATGTGGAACGGAATATCCCAACAGACACTGTGTGCTTGCATGTGCGTGCCTCCTCACCTGGAGCGATCGGCTTGGCTGGCAGGCTTGTCAGAGTGAAGCCCTTGTTGCTAATGAGGGCTGTGCTAAATTACTGGTTTGTCTCACCCAAGGAGCACCCAGCTCTCTGCTCCAACTGCCTCGTAGTTTCAGGTGGAGCCCAGCCAGGTGACCTGGCATGCAGCCAGGCCTCTCAAATCTTCCTCAGGTGTCGATATGATACAGTATGATAGCCTTTATTGTCATTGTCCCATACAGAACAACAAAATTGAAAAAATCTACACCAGACATTCAGAAACCAACAAGCCTGCTATGCCAACTATCCCAGCCTGGTTAGCCCCCTAAAAACGCTGATACCCCATAATTGAATACAATATACTCCCATAGAGACTACCTCACACTGCGTTTAAAACCGAAATTGCATTTGGATAGACAGTGTTTCTCAGGCAGCTATTCCTTCTTCCAGAAAGGGACGCGGGTGGTGCTCTGGGTTAAACCACAGAGCCTAGGACTTGCCGATCAGAAGGTCGGCGGTTCGAATCCCCGTGACGGGGTGAGCTCCCGTTGCTCGGTCCCTGCTCCTGCCATCCTAGCAGTTTGAAAGCACGTCAAAGTGCAAGTAGATAAATAGGTACCGCTCCGGCGGGAAGGTAAACGGCGTTTCCGTGCGCTGCTCTGGTTCGCCAGAAGCGGCTCAGTCCTGCTGGCCACATGACCCGGAAGCTGTACGCCGGCTCCCTCGGCCAATAAAGCAAGATGGGCGCCACAACCCCAGAGTTGGCCACACCTGGACCTAATGGTCAGGGGTCCCTTTACCTTTACCTTCTTCCAGAAGGCAGAAGCTGAAAGAGATCATTTCTGGGGTGCACACTATCCTGCACTATCTCTGCAGCTTTCTTATGGCACCTGGAAGCGTAGATTTGATCCAAGGTGGGAAGAGTGCACCCAATTATTCTCTCCGCAGTCTTGGACAGCGTTGTTTTTCCCCTGACCGTGCAGCTCCCAAACCACACACAGAGACCATAAGTTAATACACTCTCAGCAGTACATTGGTAAAATGCCATCAACAGAGATTGTTTTTCTGGAGGATTCTCAGAAAATATAACCTCTAAGAAGAGCGTGGAATGTATAAGAGCTTTGGAATGACGCAGTTAAAAATGCCGTCGCTATATTGGGAAGTTCTGTCGGAGGTCTTGAGTCTGGGAGGAGAAAGAGAGAAATAGAGCTGTTTATATATTGTGGGTGAAACTCCTCAGAGGGACTTAAGAGTGACAGTTTTGTGAGATGGAAAGAGCGATGTTATCTATGAAGGCGATGATATATGGAAACCATCGCGATTTGAGGATTGGAAGAACGGAAAAATTCACACAGGATTATTATTGGTGTTTATCGGCTTAAGGAGACTATCAGAAGATATCATAAAGAAAAAAGAGAAAATATATGAACAAGATGTGATGTTGAAACAGCAAGATAAGACTGGATAGAATTATGAACTCTGTTTGGACTGATTTGGACATTAACGCAGTAGCAAGAAGATGATCAGAATCCCCCTTCGGATCTTGAAATATGGGGCCCCCCCAACAATATTTAAAATTCGGCTTTGTAATTCGGAATTTATGTGATGTGATTTAATTTGATTTGATTGGCCGGTTAATAAAAATTATTTAAAAAAAGAAAAAGAAAATATAACCTCTGCTGTGCTCTCTTCATCGGGTCTTTGCTGTTTTCTCCCCAGGTTAGGTCATCTCTCAACTCCATTCCCAGAAATCGAAACGCCGAGACCTGTTCCACGCACTTCCCCTCGATAATATTCAATTTACATTTCCTAAAGTCCACAATAATCTCTTTTAGTTAAGGAATAAGTTGTTTTTCCTGCACCACTCCCCCAACTGCTCAACTTCCTTCCTATAGTCAGCTAGGATGTCAGAATTCCTGCCAGGGATGGAGAGGGAAGTCTGAGAAGGGGAGAGTGGCTCTGCTGGAATCTAACCCTCACATAACAGGAATGGAGGTCGCAATACCTTGGGATGAGATGGAATTGCAGGGGGTTGGACTAGATGACCCTCGGGTCCCTTTCGACTCTACAATTCCGTGAATGCTGGGAGCTGGAGGAGAGGTCGAGGCAATGGAAGAAAAATGGTGAGACGCAAAGATCTGTGTGAGTGTCTGGAGGCTGTTGGAGGATGGATGGCGGCTAACAGATTGAGGTGGAATCCTGACAAGACAGAAGTACTGTTTTTTGGGGACAGAAGGCGGGCAGGTGTGGAGGATTCCCTGGTCCTGAATGGGGTAACTGTGCCCCTGACCAGGTGCGCAGCCTGGGAGTCATTCTGGACTCACCGCTGTCCATGGAGGCGCAGGTCAATTCTGTGTCCAGGGCAGCTGTCTACCAGCACCATCTGGTGCGCAGGATGAGACCCTCCCTGCCTGCAGACTGTTGGGCCAGAGTGGCGCATGCTCTAGTTATCTCCCGCTTGGACTACTGCAATGTGCTCTACGTGGGGCTACCTTTGAAGGTGACCCACAACTAATCCAGAATGTGGCAGCTAGACTGGGGACTGGGAGCGGCCGCCAAGACCATATAACACCAGTCTTGATAGACCTCCATTGGCTCCCAGTACGTTTCCGAGCACAATTCAAAGTGTTGGTGCTGACCTTGATAGCCCTAAATGGCCTCAAAGGCCCAGTAGACCTGAAGGAGCGTCTTCACCCCCATCATTCAGCCCAGACACTGAGGTCCAGCTCCGAGGGCCTTCTGGTGGTTCCCTCACTGCAAGAAGCCAAGTTACAGGGAACCAGGCAGAGGGCCTTCTCGGTAGTGGCACCCTCCCTGTGGAACGCCGTCCCTCCAGATGTCAAAGAGAAAAATAACTACCAAACTTTTAGAAGACATCTGAAGGCAGCCCTGTTTAGGGAAGATTTTAATGTTTGATGTATTACGGTATTTTAATACTTTGTTGGAAGCCACCCAGAGTGGCTGGGGAAGCCCAGCCAGATGGGCGGGGTATAAATAAATTATTATTATTACTATTATTATTGATTATTATTTTCAAAAAGGACGGCCCCACGAATGTCTGAGGGATCATGGGCTGGAAAATGATGTCTGTCTTAGTAATTGCAGCAGTATTTAGGGCTGTGCATTTTGCAGTCGCCTCCACCTTGAATGTGCAGATCTGGAAATTCAAGTGTCGCAGTTGGCCGACATCTTAAAAATAGCCGCGCCAGCCTCAGATTTTACCTGCTGCCAAGCCGCAAAATGATAACTCACGTTGTGGGTGTGAGCAAACCTGCCCAAATCAACCCGGGCCGTGGCAAGTGGCGGCAAATCTGTGGCTAGCCGCCGAGGGTACGAGTTCAAATCCTGAGTACGTGCTGCAGGAAACGAACCTGTGATGATGGAAGAGAAAACTTTTTCCTCCACTGCCACCCCGATCCTGTTTTTCTGCTCACCTGGACTTGTTTCCACCCTCGATCCAGTTTGTTATGTTTTGTCTCCTGCCTGGGAAACCAGGTTGGTGAGTAATTGGCGCGTGTTGTTTAATAACAGCAAGGAGTGTGGAATGCTGCCTTGGGAGGAGGAGGAGACACAGCCAAACGAGGCAGCTCCTGGCATTGGTTTCGGTGGAGTTTGCACAAAGGGGCACGTAGGAGAGCAATCAAGATTCCTCGTCAGTGCTTTTGGGAAGGCTGGTTTGGAGCTACAAAGCAGGACGTGAAGGCCTTGGTCCTTAGTGTATTTTTGGTCTTTATTGGAAGCCGCCCAGAGTGGCTGGGGAAACCCAGTCAGATGGGCGGGGTACAAATAACAAATTATTATTATTATTATTAACATTAGAAAAGCCCTGGTGGATCAGGCCCAGGGCCCGTCTGAGCCACCATCCTGTTCCCACAGTTGCCAAACAAGTGCCCCAGTGGGAAACCAGTGAGCAGGATTCGAACACAAGACCATTCACCCATCCTTCTGGCAACTGGTATTCAGGTGCATTGCTTAGAATCATAGGATGGTAGAGGGACTTGCACATAGGATGGGAGGGACTTGTGCAGGAAGCACAAGCCAATCGTCCCCGACAGTTTTAATGACTGATGTTTTAATGTATTTTTAATATTTTGTTGGAAGCCGCCCACCCAGAGTGGCTGGGGAAACCCAGCCAGATGGGTGGGGTATTAATATATTAATATCAGTCATTAAAACCTTTCCTAAACAGGGCTGCCTTCAGATGTCTTCTAAAAGTCAGATACTTGTTTATTTCCCAGTAAATTTTAACCTTACTACAAGACCACCATATACACAGGGCCAGATTTAGGTTTGATGAGCCCCTAAGCTACTGGAGGCAATGGGGCCCTTTCTATGTCCAGCTTTCCTTTGTCAACAACAAATTGTCGCTGTTTTTTGGGTTGAATATATGGTCATTTATGGACCTAATAGGTATCTCAAGCCGTTTGCTCATGTTGCCATGGAACCAGTCCATACAGAATGTAGGCACCCTATATATAGAAAGGAGCAAAGCAGTGATATTTTAGGGAGCAGGCGGGGCCCATGACTTACATCCTAGGAGCCTACACGACACAAAACACTGTTGCCGTATGTAGGTTTTATTTTATTCACCTTTTATCTTATATTTTGGAAATGTACTTCCAATTTTTTCCCCTTTAATTTTTTTTGGGGGGCCCCCAAGAGAGTGGGAGGGACGCGGGTGGCGCTGTGGTCTAAACCACAGAGCCTAGGACTTGCCGATCAGAAGGTCGGCGGTTCGAATCCCCGTGACGGGGTGAGCTCCTGTTGCTCGGTCCCTGCTCCTGCCAACCTAGCAGTTTGAAAGCACGTCAAAGTGCAAGTAGATAAATAGGAAGGTAAACAGCGTTTCCATGCGCTGCTCTGGTTCGCCAGAAGCAGCTTAGTCATGCTGGCCACACTACCCGGAAAAACTGTCTAAGATTATACATATAGGGACGCGGGTGGCGCTGTGGTCTAAACCACAGAGCCTAGGGCTTGCTGATCAGAAGGTTGGCGGTTCGAATCCCCGTGACGGGGTGAGCTCCCGTTGCTCGGTCCCTGCTCCTGCCAACCTAGCAGTTCAAAAGCACGTCAAAAGTGCAAGTAGATAAATAGGTACCGCTCCAGCAGGAAAGTAAACGGCGTTTCCGTGCGCTGCTCTGGTTCGCCAGAAGCGGCTTAGTCCTGCTGGCCACATGACCTGGAAGCTGTACGCCGGCTCCCTCGGCCTATAGAGCGAGATGAATGGGCAACCCCAGAGACGTTCGTGACTGGACCTAACGGTCAGGGGTACTTTTACCTTTAAGAGAGTGGGGCCCTAAGCTATAGCTTGTTTAGCTTATACGTAAATCCGGCACAGCCCCCACCCCATCCTCAGCAGGTCTTGACCACCCACTCATGCACCCAGAAACTTGCTTTTATTATTACTACAGTGGTACCTCGGGTTAAGAACTTAATTCGTTCCAGAGGTCTGTTCTTAACCTGAAACTGTTCTTAACCTGAAGCACCACTTTAGCTAATGGGGCCTCCCGCTGCCGCCGCCGTGCCATTTCTGTTCTCATCCTGAGGCAAAGTTCTTAACCCGAGCTACCATTTCTGGGTTAGCGGAGTCTGTAACCTGAAGCGTCTGTAACCTGATGTACCACTGTATTATTAAATGGAATATCTGTTGTTGATATTACCGAATGGAAAGCGAGGTCTTTCGGAAACTCGGTTCCACCCACGACGCCACAGCCCTGGCTTTGCCCGGACTTGTCGTGGCAACACACGGCACCCTGGCGAAACCGCTCGAAGGAAGTCAGTGGGCAAAGATGGAATGGCACTCCCTTGAAGCACGCAAGGAAGAGCCTGCAGGATCAGGCCAGTGGCGCTTTGATTCCAGTATCCTCTTCCCACAGGGGCCAACCAGATGGGAAACCTGCAAGCGGGACCCGAGTGCAAGAGCCCGCTACCCTCATGCGGCTCCCAGCCACTGGCATTCAGAAGAATTGATGCCTCGCAAGTGTGGAGGCCGAGCCGAGCCACTGCGGCTGGGAGCCATTGATAGTTTTTCATGCCATCCCAACCACCGACGACAGACCCCAAGCGTTCCAGGCTCAGCAGAGAATACCCACCATCAAAACGAACGTTTTACCAAAAATGCTTTTCCTGTTTCAGACAATCCCTGTGATTGGAGGGACCAGCTGCGTCAAAAATTGCCAGCAAGGCATCTCTAAATATATCTGGCAGGGGGAAATCCCAATTAACACAAACTATTTTTGTTGTTGTTGTTGAATCGTTTAGTCGTGTCCGCCTCTTCGTGACCCCCTGGACCAGAGCACGCCAGGCACTCCTGTCTTCCACTGCCTCCCGCAGTTTGGTCAAACTCATGCTGGTGGCTTCGAGAACATTGTCCCACCATCTCGTCCTCCGTCGTCCCCTTCTCCTTGTGCCCTCCATCTTTCCCAACACCAGGGTCTTTTCCAGGGAGTCTTCTCTTCTCATGAGGTGGCCAAAGTACTGGAGCCTCAGCTTCAGGATCCGTCCTTCCAGTGAGCACTCAGGGCTGATTTCCTTCAGAATGGAGAAGTTTGATCTTCTTGCAGTCCATGGGACTCTCCAGAGTCTCCTCCAGGACCATAATTCAAAAGCATCCATTCTTTGGCGATCAGCCTTCTTCATGGTCCAGCTCTCACGTCCATACATCACTACTGGGAAAACCATAGCTTTTACTATACGCACCTTTGTTGGCAAGGTGATGTCGCTATTTTTTAAGAAGCTGTGTAGGTTTGTCACAAACTATTAATTGATATCAAAGAAAGAGGGGGATTTTCACTGTCAGGTTTGAAACTCTATTACGAAGCGGACTGTCTCTCCTGGATCAGGGAATGGTGTACACTTCAAAATACAGACCACCTAGACCTGGAAGGACATGACAACTGTTATGGCTGGCATGCCTACTTAGGTATTGTGATGTGAAATAACAAATATTACCATTTACTTCTCTTTTTTCTGGCTAAGCCCTTTGTTTGTTATTTCAATAAAGCATTTATATTTTTTTTAAAAAACAGACTGACCCTACAGCAAACCCACAAAAATGCCCTTGCTTAGAACAGGGGGACCCTACTTCCAGGAGCTGAACGCGGCCCCCACAGGTTTTTCTACGTGGCCCTCAAAACTTTCATCACACAACCCTTCCTCTTGCGTAATCACACACACCCAAAAGCCATCCCTCCTCCCAACATTCCTTGAGGGTTTTTTATTTTGGGCCTGCTTTGAGTGTGACATTGAATTCCGATTACACCTCTGCGCTTGCTCCCTCGGATGTAGGGCAGGGAGGGTTGGGTGAGAGTGTGGGTGGAGAAACTAGGCTTCCGTCCAGAGGCAAACATCTGCATTTATTACGCCGCAGCCTTTTGCTTCTGCCCTGTACACACCTAGAAGGAGACTGCGCAGCCCCTGTGCTCTGAAAAAATATTCCCCATCCCTGGCGTACAAGATAAAAGCAAGCCAGAACAAGGCCTGCAACCTCTATTTATTTATTTATTTATTGCATTAATATTTCACTCTTTTTCCTCCACGGAGCTCAAGGCAGCTTATATGATTCTCATTTAATGCCCGCAACAGCAACAACCCTGTGAGACAGGTCAGGCCAGAGGGAACGACTGGCTCAGTGAGGTCACCCAGTGAGCTTCACTCCTGAGATGGGATTTGAACCCAGACCTGTCCCTGGTTCTAGTCTTACGCTCCAACCCAAGGGATCTCAAATGGCGTGAGGGAAGTTCTGCCCTGGTGTGGCAGGAGCGGACGGCAGGGGCAGTGGGAAGATTCGAGGACAACCAAAGGAACATTTAAACATTTCAGCTTAGCAGAGCAGAGGATCGTATCAGAATAATTTTGTTTATTTGCAGAATATGGATGGAGAGCTTTTCAAAACGAGAGCAAGAGCATCAAGTTGCGGGAGGTTGTGAACTCTCCTTCCTTGGAGGTTTTTAAGCAGAAGTTGTCTGCCCATCTGTCATGGATGCTTTAGTTGAGATTCCTGCATAGCAAGGGGTTGGACTAGATGACCGCTGGGTTCCCTTCCAGCTCTACAGTTCTACGATTCTGTGCTTCTAAGTGATCATTAGGACAATTCTAGTTCTGATCCAGAATCACCGTTCGAACAGAGTGCTAGAGAAGACTCGTTTATAATTATATTTTTGGAACGGTTAATGTTACCATGTAGCTGCTTTGTCTTATATTTTCTGATCATATTATAAAGGAGTTGTGTTGGATGTTACAAATCAAGCACTACTTGGAGTTGTTTATTTTTGTATTTCTTATCAATCAAAAAATTGAGCGTGGAGCGAGCAAATTTTTATTCTGAAAGTGCGGCCCAGGAAAAAAGAGAGTTTGAGAACCACTGCTCTAACCACTATTGTTGTTGTTGTTGAGTTGTTTAGTTGTGTCCGCCTCTTTGTGACCCCCTGGACCAGAGCACGCCAGGCACTCCTGTCTTCCGCTGCCTCCCGCAGTTTGGTCAAACTCATGCTGGTAGCTTCGAGAACACTGTCCAACCATCTCGTCCTCCGTGGTCCCCTTCTGCCCTCCATCTTTCCCAACATCAGGGTGTTTTCCAGGGAGTCTTCTCATCTCATGAGGGGGGCAAAGTCTTGGAGCCTCAGCTTCAGGATCTGTCCTTCCAGGGAGCACTCAGGGCTGATTTCCTTCAGAATGGAGAGGTTTGATCTTCTTGCAGTCCATGGGACTCTCCAGAGTCTCCTCCAGCACCAGAATTCAAAAGCATCCATTCTTCGGCCATCAGCCTTCTTTATGGTCCAGCTCTCACTTCCATACATCACTACTGGGAAAACCAGAGCTTTAACTATATGGACCTTTGTTGGCAAGGTGATGTCTCTGCTTTTTAAGATGCTGTCTAGGTTTGTCGTTGCTTTTCTCCCAAGAAGCAGGCGTTTCAATTTAGAAGGAAAATCAACTAAAGCATTGAGGATCATTTAAAAATAATCCCCGCCCCCGTTGTTCTGGATTTTAAAGGTGATCTGACGCCACCTGTTTACTCAGGGAGTAAATGGGCCTTCCTGAGTTTGCACAGGACATGATTCACAACCTCCTCCCTCAAGCTGACGAAAAGGGATCTTCCCCTTTTTTCAATCCAGAAGAATATTTTTGATAGCCAAGAAACAGGACTCAGAAATCTCAGTCACTCCTGACGCCACTTCCCTTCAGGTTTTGCTGCGAAGGGAATAATTCATATTCTGGGCTCCCAAACTGATGCAACAGAAGATAAGCGAGGAATGTGGGAGAAGATATAATTAGATTCTGCAAACAATGCTTTGCTGCAGTCTTTTAGATCCCAAGCAGCCTGCGGGAAGAGTGGCCTCCTTTAATCTTCTGGCATCTTAGGCGAGAAAGAGGTCATATTGGGCGGCGTCAGCAGGAGAGGAGTGGGGCTCGCGGAGGGCAGAGGAAAAAACAAGACGTTTCCCCCTTTCCTTGTGCTTCTAACAGGAGGTGCGCTGTTGGGCCTGAATCCTGCTTGGGTCATCGCATCGCCTGACCTGCCGGTCCTTTCCTTTTCCCAATCCATTCATAGAATCATAGTTGGAGGAGACCCTGAGTGTTGTTGCAGGAATTTATGTATCGGTTGGGGGGGGGTTGCCCCTCCAGCAGATATCATGCACATGCAGCCCACTACCAAAACCAGCACAATCGCTTTTGTGACTTTGGTGATTTGTCCCCACAAAACACTTCATCAGTTTCTTCCTGTCTATTCAAAGGGCCTCTGCTGCACGATACCAAATGTAGAATTCACTGATCAATGTATCTATGTACTGACTCACTGGGAAAACTTCAGAAATTAATATAGACAGGTGAGCTCAGCTCCTCAGCAGCCCCTCTGCCTGAGTGATAATCCCTGGCACCCTGATACCTGAGTGCCAGACAGGTAGCCATTCCAGAAATAACAAACCCAGATGAAGACAAAAGGATGTGATGAACTTGGCTGGGTAACAGGGAAATGTGAATATCTCTTTTCTTACACTTGATGGGTGTTTGGTGGAGGGCAAGGGGAACCATGGGGCAGGGTCCAGGATGCTCAGATTACTGCCACCAGACCTCCCCTTTCATGATGTAACTATGATGTATGAGTGATGTAGTTTGGGGGGGTGTAACATGGGGATTGGGATGCGGGTAGCGCTGTGGGTTAAACCACAGAGCCTAGGACTTGATCGGAAGGTCGGAGGTTCAAATCCCTGTGACGGGGTGAGCTCCTGTTGCTCGGTCCCTGCTCCTGCCATCCTAGCAGATCGAAAGCATGTCAACATGCAAGTAGATATATAGGTACCGCTCCAGCGGGAAGGTAAACGGCGTTTCCGTGCGTTGCTCTGGTTCGCCAGAAATGGCATAGTCATGCTGGCCACATGACTCGGAAGCTGTACGCCGGCTCCCTTGGCCAGTAAAGCGAGATGAGTGCCGCAACCCCAGAGTCGGCCACGACTGGACCTAATGGTCAGGGGTCCCTTTACCCCTTTACCTTTAATATGGGGATTAGCAGCTAATAAAAGTTTGGGTTCTCTCATGTTTGGGGCTTCCATCTTGTTCCACCTGGTGGCAGGTGGGAGTCCTGTCGCGACAGTCTTCAATCAAGACCAAGCCGACTGGCTGCTGTTTTGCTCTGGTATTCCTGGCTGGTGTCCTTGTTTTTTTTGTCCAAGGGAGCCCTCAGATTTCTCTGTTAACAGTGTCATCCAGTCCAACCCCCCTGCAATGCAGGAATCTCAACTAAAGCATCGACGGCAGCTGGCTATCCAACCTGTGCAGACTCCGGGCTTCTGGCAAAGGCACTCTTCACATGCTCAGAAACACTGCTTTCTAACTTCATGAAAAGCAGAAAGTTAAGTGTTATGCTTGGAGAAGGGAGGGTTAAACCAACTGCGGAGATCCAGGAGGGAGTTTTTTATTTCCACTTCCATGGCTAGCAGCTCAAAGCTCAAACTTGCCCTCCATATTTCAAATATATATTTTATTAAATTTCCATAAAGTTCACAAGCAATCCCATACATGATAGATTTTTCTTTTCTTTTTCCGATTTCCCTTCCCGTTTCCCGTGATGTTTCCTTTTCCATTTTTTCTCTCGCAAAAGCAGCGGTATCTGGAATATCGGGGGGGAGGGGGGTTGTGTGCCAGGACGCCTGGGTCCCCTCCTCGCTTCTAAGACTCAAGGGCATCCTGATCAAATTTGCAGATGACACCAAATTGGGAGGGGTGGCTAACACCCCAGAGGACAGGATCACACTTCAAAACGACCTTGACAGATTAGAGAACTGGGCCAAAACAAACAAGATGAATTTTAACAGGGAGAAATGTAAAGTATTGCACTTGGGCAAAAAAAATGAGAGGCACAAATACAAGATGGGGGACACCTGGCTTGAGAGCAGTACATGTGAAAAGGATCTAGGAGTCTTGGTTGACCACAAACTTCACATGAGCCAACAGTGTGACGCAGCAGCTAAAAAAGCCAATGCAGTTCTGGGCTGCATCAATAGGAGTATAGCATCTAGATCAAGGGAAGTAATAGTGCCACTGTATTCTGCTCTGGTCAGACCTCACCTGGAGTACTGTGTCCAGTTCTGGGCACCACACTTCAAGAAGGACATTGACAAACTGGAACGTGTCCAGAGGAGGGCAACCAAAATGGTCAAAGGCCTGGAAACGATGCCTTATGAGGAACGGCTAAGAGAGCTGGGCATGTTTAGCCTGGAGAAGAGGAGGTTAAGGGGTGATATGATAGCCATGTTCAAATATATAAAAGGATGTCACATAGAGGAGGGAGAAAGGTTGTTTTCTGCTGCTCCAGAGAAGCGGACACGGAGCAATGGATCCAAACTACAAGAAAGAAGATTCCACCTAAACATTAGGAAGAACTTCCTGACAGTAAGAGCTGTTCGACAGTGGAATTTGCTGCCAAGGAGTGTGGTGGAGTCTCCTTCTTTGGAGGTCTTTAAGCAGAGGCTTGACAACCATATGTCAGGAGTGCTCTGATGGTGTTTCCTGCTTGGCAGGGGGTTGGACTCGATGGCCCTTGTGGTCTCTTCCAACTCTATGATTCTATGATTCTATGATTCTAAGAGACTCCTGAGAGCGGGGAGGCGTCGGAAGCGGCGGGGCTCCTGGATCTCCCCTACCTGAGCGCTGGAAAACCTCCCCTCCATTTTTCGAAACATATATTTGATTATAATAATAATTTATTATTTATACCCCGCCCATCTGGCTGGGTTTCCCCAGCCACTCTGGGCGGCTTCCAACAAAACACTAAAACACAACCTATTAAACATTGATTGACATTCCAAAAAGTTCACATAAACAACCCAAGACATGATAGCTTTTTCTTTTGTTTTGCAGATTTCCCATCCCATTCCCTCCCCTCCATTTTCCCCCCTCTTGCAGAAACGGGGGGGGGGGTCTGGAGGGTCGGGGGGGTGCCAGGACGCCTGGGTCCCCTCCTCGCTCCCGGATCCCCCATACCTGTTCTGGGGAGACCCGTGAGACGCGACTCGCGGGGCGGGGGCGGAGAAAACGCCCGCCCTGGACGCCTGGGTCCCTTCCCTCCCTTCCCTCCCTCCTTCCCGGGCGTCCGTCGGGGCGGAGACCGGCGCCTGCCCGCCCCCCCGGCCGGTCCCTCCCTTATAAAGCGCGGCCGGCGCCGAGATAAGCTCAGCTGCGCGCAGCGCTGCGCTCCACTTCCTGCGCCGGCACCGGGAGCCGCCCAGAGACCTCGCCTCTGCTCCAGGTACAGCGACCTCTCCGGGCAGGATCGGGGCCCCCTGTCCTGTTTTCCTCTTGGGTGGTCCTTCCCCCCCCTTAGGACACCCCCCTCCAAAGGATCCCGCCCCCCAGGCACTCCCAGGCCCTTTTGGGTTGGATAGGTGGGGGCCTTTTCCTGGGCTGAAATACTTCTAGTCCACCAGCCATCCCCGAAGTCTTTTCCTGGTACAGCCAGCCTCTTTCTGGAAGATCAGGTTTTTAATTCTGTTTTAACAACTTATTGTGCTTTGATCTCATTCCCTTCGGGTGGTTGTTGTTGTCGTTTTAGATACAGTGTATTCATTTTATATAACCAAAACAAAACCACACACATTCAGAAATCCACATCATATATCTTAATTGGCTTCGCTCCACTCTCCCTCCTGGTTCCATTATTTTATACTTATTCACGTCCTTATAATCTTATATCTTAATCCAATTTCAAAACCTTGTTCATGTCTTTACAAGCGACCTTTAGAAGTTCAACTCATGTAAAACCTATACACAAAGCTTACAGAGTATGCCATGAAAAAATCCCTTTTTGAAAAGGTTGTTTTTGACCGTAAGTTTGGGGGGGTCTCTCCTGGCTTGGGGATTTTTTATTTTTTTTTAAAAGAAGGTTCACAAGTTTGTAATAATAATAATAATTTATTATTTGTACCCCGCTCATCTGGCTGGGTTTCCCCAGCCACTCTGGGCGGCTTCCACAGAGACCAAAAATACACTAAGATGTCACACATTAAAAACTTCCCTGAACAGGGCTGCCTTAAGATGTCTTCTGAATGTCAGGTAGTTGTTTATTGCTTTGACATCTGATGGGAGGGCGTTCCACAGGGCGGGCGCCACCACCGAGAAGGCCCTCTGCCTGGTTCCCTGTAGCTTTGCTTCTCGCAGTGAGGGAACCGCCAGAAGGCCCTCGGCGCTGGACCTCAGTGTCCGGGCCGAACGATGGGGGTGGAGACGCTCCTTCAGGTATACTGGGTAGAGTTAGGAAGGGGAACCTCATGGGTCATCTAGTGCAACCCCCTTTCAATGCCAAACATGGGGTTCAAACCCACAACCCCGATATTGAACTGATCAGACCTTCTTCCCCTTCCTCAGCTGAGTGCAGCGTTTGCCAACATGGCGCCCCTCCCCAGATGTTTTGGACTACAACGCCCAATACGCTGACTCAGCTTGGCTCAATTGTTGTGGAACTGCCCCACGAAAGTTACACCCTGAGCTCCTTGTCAAAACTCCCAATTTTATTGCAGGTTTCCTGTTCGGACCCCAAGCTAGTTGTATTGTATTGGAACCCATATTTCGCTCCGCCTCCTGTCCAAATAAAAAAACATATTCCAAGCAGAGGGACTGAAAATAGGCTTCCTCCAGCCTTACAGAACTTCAACGTTTAAATTGATTGGTTGCCTAGATGAATTGTCTTCAAAACTTTGAAATCTTTGAGAAGGGAAAGTCAATTTATTTTGGGGGAAAGGTGATTAGTCAACTGTAAGGGCTCTCTGGGAAGGAAGTCACACAAAGGAACCCCCTTCTTGTTATTTTACGGTATTTATACATGCCACTTAATCAATGAAAATCTGTACATGAAATCCCGTAATATGTGCACAAGAAAATGCTGGTAAAATCAAAACTTTACAAACAAGGAGATGTAAAATTTATTCAAAAAAGGAGAAGCCAAAATTGACAGTGTTAAAATGATACAAAGTGTGTATATATACACATCTATCTATCTATCTATCTATCTATCTATCTATCTATTGTTTGATGTATTGCAGTATTTTAATATTTTGTTGGAAGCCGCCCAGAGTGGCGGGGGAAGCCCAGCCAGATGGGCGGGGTATAAATATATTATTATTATCTATAAAATAGAATTGTAGGGTCTTCTAGTTCAACCCTGAGCTAAAGAATCTGACAGATGGCTATCCAACCTCTGTTTAAAAACTTCCAGTGAAGATTAAAAACCCTCCAGTGTGTAGCAATATTGAATGCCCTATTGTCATCTTTTCCTTACACACTTGCTTCAGTTTCCCCCCTTTCCCTTTGTTGAAATTGAATTAAATTAAATGGCAAGTTCTCTGGGGCAGTGATTCCACCCCTGCCTGGGCTCTGAGATTACCTGTGCAACTTCCTGTCACATATTTGCAACCTTGAGGTCTAGAAACATTTTCCCCCTCTGAAAAAAAAGAGAAAACAACAGCAGCAAAACAACCAAGCAAGCTTTCCCAGAAGCCTGATTCTGAGGCCCGGACATTGTCGGTGTTTGTGTGAGGAATGCGAAAAGTTCCCTATGAATTTTCAGCGGCGTAATGTATTGATGTTTTTAAATGTTTGCTGCTTGGAGGCCCGAGCCGCAAAAAGTAATTACCTGTTTTGAGATGAAACGCGCATGTGTCATAGCGAGGTGTCAAAAAGGACGGGGGAAATAAATGCATTTAGCTCTTAATCACTGCCTTGACCTCAGCTTCTTCTGGTCTATTTGTAGAAAAGAATCTGCAGGGCAGGGCTGGGAACTCAAGATGTTGTTGGACTCCAACTCCCATCAGCCCCAGACAGGCGGGAGCCAGGGATTATGGGAGTTGTAGTCCAATAACATTGGGAGGGCCCCAGACAGGCTCCCACCCCCTCCTTTAACAACATGTTTAATGCGTCAGAATAGTTGCTTACTCATACGCAAAGGCTCAGAAGAAGGCAAGCAAAACTACTGACTGGATAGAAAGTTTGCAGCGTTTGAGATTTTAGTTTAGAGAAAAGGTCACAGGCAGCGGGATGGAAGTTGATAAAACAAATGATGGGGAGCAAGAGAATAGAGGAAAGCTTTTCCCCCTCCCTCATAACAATAGAATATGCGGACATCTGAGGAACGTGAACGTCGGCAAAGCCGGGACAGATACAACAAAGTCCTTCTTCACACGGCGCATGGTTTAAACAGTGGAACTCCCTGCCACAGCAGGCAGAGACGGCCACCAAATTAAAGGTAAAGGGACCCCTGACCATTAGGTCCAGTCGTGGCCAATTCTGGGGTTGCGGCGCTCATCTCGCTTTACTGGCTGAGGGAGCCGGCGTACAACTTCCGGGTCATGTGGCCAGCAGGACTAAGCCGCTTCTAGCGAACCAGAGCAGCGCATGGAAACGCCGTTTACCTTCCCGCCGGAGCGGTACCTCTTTATCTACTTGCACTTTGAGGTGCTTTCGAACTGCTAGGTTGGCAGGAGCAGGGACCGAGCAACGGGAGCTCACCCCGTCATTGCGGGGATTCGAACCGCCGACCTTCTGATCAGCAAGCCCTAGGCTCTGTGGTTTAACCCACAGCACCACCCGCGTCCCACCAAATTAGATGGCTTTAAAAGAGGATTGGAGAAATTCACGAAGGAGGAGAGGGTGATGGATGGCTGTCAACCACGATGGCTGTTCTGTGCCTCCATGAATAGAGGCAGCAATGTTTCTGGATCCCAGTTGTTGGAAACCGCAGGAGGGGAGAGTCAAGGGCCATTGGGAGTTGTAGCTCAGCGGCGCCTGGAGGGCAGCTCCTTGGGGACGGCTGCTTGGTGGTGCGTTGATGTGCTCAGACAGACGGGAAAAGCAAAGGCAGCGAGGGAACATGGCTCTAGGCCCTGCTCCAGAAATCCTGTACGCATCCATGTGCCCAAACCTCTGCGTCTTTCTCCCTCTTCCTTCCTGGGAGATGGTGTGCGCACACCAGTCAACAGGTTGCTTTGCGCTCTGTTCCAGCAGCGCCTCTCCTTGATATAGAATCGGTTCCTTCTCCTCCCTCCGCCCCTCGACCCGTCCTCGGCCTCTCCCAGAGAGGTGGTCATGGGCACAAGACAGGGACCCACCCAATGCACTGGGGGTTGTTTTGGGTGCCACCAGACTCCCTGTTTTGTTGTTGAGTTGTTTAGTCGTGTCCGCCTCTTCGTGGCCCCCTGGACCAGAGCATGCCAGGCCCTCCTGTCTTCCACTGCCTCTCCCAGTTTGGTCAAACTCATTTTTGTAGCTTTGAGAACACTGTCCCACCATCTCGTCCTCCGTCGTCCCCTTCTCCTTGGGCCCTCCATCTTTCCCAACATCAGGGTCTTTTCCAGGGAGTCTTCTCTTCTCATGAGGTGGCCAAAGCTTCAGGATCTGTCCTTCCAGTGTGCACTCAGGGCTGATTTCCTTCAGAATGGAGAGGTTTGATCTTCTTGCAGTCCATGGGACTCTCCAGAGTCTCCTCCAGCACCAGAATTCAAAAGCATCCATTCTTCGGCGATCAGCCTTCTTTATGGTCCAGCTCTCACTTCCATACATCACTACTGGGGAAACCAGAGCTTTAACTATATGGACCTTTGTTGGCAAGGTGATGTCTCTGCTTTTTAAGATGCTGTCTAGGTCTTGAATAACTCAGAGAAGCTATGAGGTATGCCATGCAGGGCCACCCAAGATGGACAGGTCATAGTGGAGAGTTTTGACCAAACGTGATCCACCTGGAGCAGGAACCGGCAAGCCACTCCAGTATCCCTGCCAAGAAAACTCCATAGACAAAGACAACTCCCTGTTTACTAAACCCAAATTCTCCTGCTGTCTCCACATCCTTCGGCGTTTGTGGGCAAACAGTCTCTGCTCCTGTCGCCAGCCAGCCGTGGCTATTTATGGCTGCTTGACGTGATGGCTGTGCTCTGACTTCACAGTTGCAGGTAGAATCATAGAGTTGGAAGGGACACCCAAAGGTCATCCATCCCAACCCCCTTCAATGCAGGAATCTCAGCTAAAGCATCCATGGCAGATGGACATCCGACCTCTGCGTCAAAACTTCCAAGGAAGGAGACTCCAACGCCTCGCGAGGGTGTCTGTTCCACTTTCAAACGCCTCTTGCTGTCAGAAAGTTCTTCCTGCTTCTAGATTCCTGCAGGAGGGAAGAGTTGCCCTCGTGTTCAAATCCTGATAGATGGTTTCCCTTCTGGGCGTGTGGTTGCCCCCTGTGAACAGGACGCTGGGCCACCGGCCTGATCCCAGCAGGCTGTTGTTCCGCTCCGATGCGTACAACTCAGTCCACAAATTCTTCATTCTTTCTGGTTTTAAATTATTTTTATTCGGTTTTTCCAATTAATGTTTACATTCAAACTCACATACAGTCATACCTTGGGTTACAGACACTTCAGGTTGTGTTTTTTCGGGTTACGGACCCGCCGAAACCTGGAAGTACTGGAATGGATTACTTCCGGGTTTTGGCTGTTGCGCATGCGCAGAAGTGCTAAATCGCGCTTTGCACATGCGCAGATGCGGGTTCCGAATGCTGCGGGTTGCGAATGTGCATTCCACACGGATCACATTGGCAACCCGTGCGTTCACTGTATAGATAAAACAAATACAAGATTCTTTCGAATCTGTAGACTTCTGCTGCATATTTTACATCATCCAGTTGATTATCCATTACTGTACACCCAAAGTCTTTGTTATATTGCAAGTGTTATTTGAGTCCTGTTAAAGAGTTCAGTTGTTTACAGTGTTCTTCCTAGTACGATAGAATTCTCCCCTATTCTTTATTAAAGTTTTGCCCTTCCTGGTTTCTGATCTATTTATTTTTTGCGGCCTTTTTCGCCGTCTCTAATAGTCCAGGCTTCCTCAACCTCAGCCCTTCAGATGTTTTTGGCTTACAACTCCCATGATCCCTAGCTAGCAGGACCAGTGGTCAGGGATGATGGGAACTGTAGTCTCAAAACATCTGGAGGGCTGAGGTTGAGGAAGCCTGGAATAGTCTATCAGTTTGGTCTGCCATTCCTCTCTGGTAGGGACCTGGGCGTCTTTCCATCTCTGGGCTGCAAGCGTTCTGGCAGCTGACATATTTACCTGGCAGGCGAGACACCTCGATCACAAATGCTTCTTTTGCCAGGTGAAATCCCTCCTTCGCAACTTTCCTTACATACTTTATGACCACTGCTCCATAGCAATTGTTGTTATACATTCACCATATAGATGGGTTTTTGAAGCATTTCTGTATCCTTCTGCTGTGCTGAAGAAGAATTCCACGAAACAGTGGTTATATCCGGAATCACTGTTCACCACGTCTGTTTGCGGACCACTTTGGCAGCGTTGGACATCATAAAAGAAAGCTTTACGGCTTGTTTTCACCAGATACGATTCTGACCTATTGCTTAAGATTTTCAGAGACTTAAAAGACTTCTGTTTATTTGGTTCTACGTTTTCAAGAGAATCCATCAAGAGTACACATTTTGTGACTTTCAGAGATTTATAAGATTTCTGTTCATTTGGCTTTCCAGAGAGTATATATTTCATATTGTTTAATGTTCTGAATAGATTATATAAAGAGATCACTGTATTTTTCGCTCTGTAAGACACACCAGACCACAAGACGCACCTGGTTTTTGGAGGAGGAAAACAAGAAAAAAAAAATATTCTGAATCTCAGAAGCCAAAACAGCAAGAGGGATCGCTGCGCAGTGAAAGCAGCGATCCCTCTTGCTGTTCTGGCTTCTGGGGTAGCTTCGCAGCCTGCATTTGCTCCATAAGACGCACACACATTTCCCCTTACTTTTTAGAAGGGAAAAAGTGAGTCTTATAGAGCAAGAAATATGGTATATTGACATCATATTGTTGTACTTGGTCATCGTGTTGCCTTTGGATATTACTGATATTTACCTGGCAGGTGAGCCACCTTGATCACAAATGCTTCTTTCGCCAGGTGAAATCCCTCCTTCGCAACGATGCCAGGCACCTGCGAGGCCCCAGGGCGGACGCCCGGCCTGGTGACCTTGAACGTCGGCGGCAAGCTCTACAGCACCACCCTGGACACCCTCACCCGCTTCCCCGACTCCATGCTGGGCGCCATGTTCCGCGGACCCCAGCCGGCCCTCACCGACAGCTGCGGCAACTACTTCATCGACCGCGACGGCAAAGCCTTCCGCCACATCCTCAACTTCCTCCGTTTCGGCCGGCTGGACCTGCCCGAGGGCTACGCTGAGCTCTCCCTCCTGCGGGCCGAGGCGGACTTCTACCAGATCCGGCCGCTTCTGGAGGAGCTCCGGCGGGTGGAGGCGGAGCGCTGGCGGCAGAGGAGGAACGCGGTGCTGCACGCCGACGTGGACGTGCGGAAGCGCCTGGTGCACTTCAACGTCCGCCGAGGGCCGCAGAACTACGAGCTGAGCTCTAGCTGCCTGCACATCTTCACGGCCAACGTTTTCTGCACCGATAAACACTTCCTGGCTTTGCTGCGGAGGCGGCTGGGCCAGTCTGGCAGTGGTGTGGAAGAGGGGCATTCTGGGAAGGGTGTGGGACAATTCCCGAGGAATTCCGTGAGGGATTCCATCGTCGGCAACGGAGATTTCAGAGGGCAGAAGGGGCGGCTGGGCGGTTCGGAGACCGGCGGCGAGCTGGGGATTTGGCCGGGCGACTCCACGGACGAAGACGAATCGGACGAGGAGGCGTGGGACTACTCCCCTGTGGACACCAAGACATGCCACCACCTTTGCCTGGAGTGGGCGCCGCGCCCAGCCGAACTTCCGGTAGCCGAGTACGCCAAGCAGAAGTTGCAGCCTCTGGCGGTTGGCGGGCGGGAGGTCCGTACGGGCCACGAATTCCTAGAGGAGGTGCTGAAGGTGGCGCTGGCGCAAGGCTTCCGCGTGGATTCCGTCTTCCCCGACCCGGCGGATATCCTGAATGCCCGCTCTTTGCGGTTCGTCCGGCACTGAGCCTTATGTGACCAAATGCCGGGGGCGGGAAGGGGGAGAGTAGCAGCGCCGCGCGAGGATCAGCGCCGTCTTAAAGGAAGATGGAGATGGTAAGAAACTGGAGGGGACATGATGGAAGAGGAGGGAAGGTTGGTGCTTGTTGAGTTCAGCTTGATGGGCAAGTTCCTTTTTATATATATATATACATTTTTATTGGGACGCGGGTGGCGCTGTGGGTTAAACCACAGAGCCTAGGACTTGCTGATCAGAAGGTCGGCGGTTCGAATCCCCGCGACGGGGTGAGCTCCCGTTGCTCGGTCCCTGCTCCTGCCAACCTAGCAGTTCGAAAGCACACCAGTGCAAGTAGATAAATAGGTACCGCTCCGGCGGGAAGGTAAACGGCGTTTCCGTGCGCTGCTCTGGTTCGCCAGAAGCGGCTTAGTCATGCTGGCCACATGACCCGGAAGCTGTACGCTGGCTCCCTCGGCCAGTAAAGCGAGATGAGCGCCGCAACCCCAGAGTTGGCCACGACTGGACCTAATGGTCAGGGGTCCCTTTACCTTTACCTTTTTATTAATTTTTAACATATTAATTAACATTCATGCAACAGAACTTCTCGTCTTATACAATATTTTTGGGGGGACTTCCATCAACACCTCTGATGATTTTCCGTATTTATCACTTATTACGCATTTCTTAATTTCATACTACCTTTAAATATCTTTAACTAATAATTCTCCTTATTATCTTTTTTCTTCTTCAATATTTCTAATAATTCTCCTTACAAAACTTTTTGCAAACCTACTAGCGTAATCTGCTCATCACAATCATTTTTCAAATAGTCCGTAAATTTACTCCAGTCCTCTGAGAATCTCTGGTCCCGCAGGTTTCGAATCCTTCCTGTTAGTTTATCTAATTCTGCATAGTCCGTCAGTTTCATCCGCTGGGCGAGTTCCATAGCGCTGAACTGTGGAACTCTCTTCCGCAGGAAGCAGCGGTGCTTCTGAACGCCGCACGAGGGGAGAGGCCTGTGTTCGAATCCTGCTTGCAGGTTTCCCATGGAGGCATCTGTTGAGAAAAGGATTCTGGGCCAAGTGGGCCGCTGGCCTGATCCAGCAGGACTTTTCCGATGTTCAGACACTTGTCAACCTTCACCCAGCGAAACCAGCTGTTAAGTTGTGGGTGAACATATCAGACCACACAGCGATTCTTCAAACAGCTCTTCTTTATTCAGAGGCCAGAACAGAACTGACTGAAGGGCTCAGTCAGCCTGCTTATATAGAGCTCCAGTACAACGCTACTGTAACAACTTTCTAAAACTATCCAATCACTGAACGTCACTTTCGATCCTTCATTTGCATAACTATCTACAGTATCCCCCTGCTGGCCCAGCGTGAGAACTTCAGTACATAACACCAGCAGTATAAAATTCTGTTCTGAACTTGGAAGTGGAAAGTCCTGACCTCAGTCAAAGTCCTGGCAAGTTGATGATGATGATAATAATAATAATAATAATAATAATAATAATAATAATAATATAATTTATTACTTATACCCCGCTCATTTGGCCAGGCCTCCTCAGCCACCCTGGGCAGCTTAAGGAGGAATGAGGTGGATTTAAAATCCTAAACCTTATGAAATTATAAACGTACAGTGGAACCTCGGTTTTTGAACTTAATTTGTTCCGGAAGACTGTTCAGCTTCCGAAAAGTTTGAAAACCGAGGATCAGTGGGCTGGCTGCAAAGTCAATGGGGGGAAAAAATGAAAACACAGCTTTTGGCTTCCAAAAATTGTTCGAAAACGGAAGCATTCACTTCCGGGTTGTCGGCGTTTGGGTTCTGAATTGTTTGACTTCTGAAGCGTTCGACAACCGACGTTCCACTGTATTTTGTATTTCATAAACTGCCTAGAAGTGTGTTTGTAAAACACATACACAACAACAACAACCAATCAAGTGGTGTATAGTTTTTATGAAATAAATTAAAATTCATGAAATAAAATGTACGCACCATTTATTTTTATTTTTTCCAAACAAACCTCAAAGCGGTTTATGAAATGCAAAACGAACTTTTTGCCATTCTCCCCAGTGAACCTGCCTGGATTCTTGAGATTCTTGGGGGATACCCTTTTTTCAGTCTCTCGACCCTCCCCGGGACGTGGGACAGGGCCTTCTCGGTGGTGGCTGCCCCCAAACAACTTTGGAACTCCCTTCCGAGAGAAGAAAGACTTGCTCCCTCCTTGGCCAACTTGAGTCGCGGTCTCGGCGGTGTGTGTGTGTGTGTGAGAAAGGCAAAATATATAAAGAATACTAATTGTTTTTTAAGAACTATCCGTGGTCCCTCTATGGGTATACCGTATATAATATTTCCTTCCTCTTAAATCAGAGATGGTCTCTGCAAGGCAGGGTCCTCTCAAGTCTGGGGGAAATATTTCTGAATTTGGACGGCAACATCCCAGTTCCTCAACCTGTGGTGGATGTTTCAGAACAGTTAGACGGAAGAGAGACGGAGGCAAATTTGGACAGAAAACCTAAGAGGCCATGCGGCAAATCAGTAACTTTCGGCAGGAATTGGATCTAGGTTCAGAGTTCAAAATATCGGCAGTCAAAAGTCAGAGCAGCAAGCCAAGCGTTCTCCCTGCTGAACAATGTTTGCATAAGAATAATGTGGACACTCGGGTTGCGAACGTGATCCATGCAGGATGCACGTTTGCAACCCGCAGCGCCCGCAACCTGCAGCGCTGCGTCTACACATGTGCGGGTTGCGATTTGGGGCTTCTGTGCATGCGCAAAGCACGATTTAGCGCTTTTGCGCATGTGCGACTGCCAAAACCCATAAGTAACCCGTTCCGGTACTTCCAGGTTTCGGCAGTCCGCAACCTGAAAAAACGCAACCTGAAGCGTCTGTAACCCAAGGTGTGACTGTAAATATATTTTTTAAAATTAAAAATTGTCCAGTAGCACCTTAAAAGTAAAGGGACCCCTGACCATTAGGTCCAGTCGTGGCCGACTCCGGGGTTGCGGCACTCATCTCGTTTTATTGGGGACGACGGAGGACGAGATGGTGGGACAGTGTTCTCGAAGCTACCAGCATGAGTCTGACCAAACTGTGGGAGGCAGTGGAAGACAGGAGGGCCTGGCGTGCTCTGGTCCAGGGGGTCACGAAGAGGCGGACACGACTAAACAACTAAACAACAACAACAAACAGGGAAACTGCCTTTCTTCATCGGAGAGTTGCTCCATCCCCTTGACCGTTTGGGTTGGACCTTTTCCAACTCTTAACAATCTCCGTTTTGAGGCGAGGCAACCAGAACTGTGCAAGTCTTGTTCCAAACAGGGGGAGAGATGGGTTGAGGTGTGTCAAGGCAAACACTGAACCATTCTGGCTCTCCTATTGGCGTCTTTAGAACTCGGGTTCGTTTCAGAGTGGTACCTCGGGCAGGCCAGATGGCTGGTGGGGAGGTTGATCTTTGTCTTTCTGGGCTGACAAGCAGGCTATTGTATTATGGGTTGCCTGCTCCCAGAATGCCAGCCTTTGTTATGGGTCTGTCCTGTGGGGAGCTCAGTTCAATGGGGCTCACAGTCTCTCTCCCTTCTGTTCTGGTTGAGATTTATTTCATTTTGTAACAGCCATGACAACAGATGGAAATTGAAAGGTGAAAAGCGTTCCAGCTATAAAATAGGCACGCGGAATGAGTATCGTGGCGCGTGGTTTTGAATAACAAAGTGAAGAATATCCGTGTTGTCCAATTATCAAATTCAGTTATATGAAAAGTGCCAGCCTCAGCTTTGGGTTCCCAGACAGACTACAAATCCTATCATTCCTAGCCAGAGATGATGGGAGTTGTAGTCCCAGAACATCTGGAGACCTGAGAGACAGGCTCCAGTCCTTTCTGAAATCTCAAATTATCCCTATTTTTCCCCTGTTATGATAGCCATATTCCAGAGGGAGTGTTAACAAGTCTCTGGGATAAGATTTGGGACTGTTTTCTGTTGAGTTGCAATTCCTATTTGTGCTGCCCAGGTCGCACATAAGACCATTATATATATTTTTGACAACATATCTACATCTGTGTCATCAAAACATCATCAGTAATGTTAATTTTGGGCAGCAAACAATCTTTTTCTTTAGTACAGTGGTACCTCAGGTTAAGTACTTAATTTGTTCCGGAGGTCTGTTCTTAATCTGAAACTGTTCTTAACCTGAAGCACCACTTTAGCTAATGGGGCCTCCTGCTGCCGCTGGAGCACAATTTCTGTTCTTATTCTGAAGCAAAGTTCTTAACCTGAAGCACTATTTCTGGGTTAGCAGAGTCTGTAACCTGAAACGTATGTAACCCGAGGTACCACTGTAATATTGATCATATTAAAGTGATGATATGTGCCAAGTTTATTGTAACCCCTCCAGCAGCAACGGAAGAAAACATTTTAGACTTTTGCAAAGGAGTGCAATGCCATCTGTGTGGTAATTTTAAGGGTCGTTGTTCCATCCCGCTGTCTTTGGACTACAACTCCCATCATCCCGAGCTAACAGGACCAGTGGTCAGGGATGATGGGAATTGTAGTCCCAAAAACAGCTGGAGGGCCAAGTGTGGCCATCACTGGGCTAGATCAGCTCTACAGCTCTATGATTCCCAAAGTTTAACAGTCTCTTTTTTATTTTTCTTCTAGGTTTTTATTAAAGTCTCCTGTGCCTTCAGCTTCCAGTTCCCACAGCTGAGCTGAATTTCTGGGGTTCTTCGTCCTGCCTCACCTCACCCAAATCTTCCACCTTAGAACCACAGCAACCAAAAGCCCTACAAAGGGGAGAAGGGGCTGAAGACGGATGGATGGGTTTTGAAACACACAAGTGCATTTTTGGGGGGAAGAATCATCGCCATGCAAACAGACATTTGTTAACGCTTTTCACTGAGGACACTTTGACGTTAGGGTGAAACGGGCTGCCTCCTGGCTTTAGCAATCGTGTGCCTTTTGGAAAACCCAAAAAGCATTTTTTTTAACACTCACAAAATGGAACCTTTG